AACAAGGTTAGCAAAAATTACATGAAATGGAGAATGCTAAGTCTCCAGGCAGGGATGACACAGGGTTCTTACTCAGAAAGCTCCAGGGTCCTTCAGTCTGAAGGCCCCAGAATTCACTATCTCTACCTTAAGCTGTGACCACAGAATCATTCAACAACTCTCATTACTTGTACTCCAAAAGCCATGGGGAATACTGAGACAAAAAAGACTCCCTCCTAGCCCTCCCTAAGAACCAACAGAGAAAGGAGAAAAAGACAAACAGAGGTAAATTAGTTGGTCAGACTCCAACAGAGGCGGAGGTAAACCAAAGTGCCCCCTGCCAAGTGAAAGCACAACCTTCCCTGTCTGCAACAAGAAGACACTAATAGGATCCACCCCACTAAAGTTACAGGGAGGACTAAAGGAAATTAGTAGTCTGGGAGCTCTGATGTGTAGGGGCACAGTGCCTAGCCCCCAGCAGACATTCCTTCAACGCTGCCATCTCAACCTCCATCTCTGCAGACCTAGAAAGACACCTTAACCAGTCTTCCCAGGTTCTGACAGGTGGGTGACAGGAGGGAAAGGTGTGTTTGGAATCCTTTAGAAGCTTATTCCAAGTTTTGAGAGAGAGGAAAACCCTGGGACCCTCCCTCTGATCCAAGGGGACTCCCTTACCCAGGCTGCTGCCTCTGCTAACTAAACTCGCAGGACTGACTTTTGAGCATGTGGCAGCTGCAGAGAAGACCCATGTGCTGAGCAAATGGCTCAAGAGTCCCTGCCCCTCCCACCATTAGCCCTGTTGCACCTGCCACTCTCTGAGACTGGACACTTGACTACAAAAAGTAGTTGAAATATTCTTTGTTAAAAAGCTGGCAGCAGCTGCGGGCTGTCTTCAAATTGGCAGGTCCAAAGGAACTAAAGGAACAGGGGTGGTAATAGTAACATCAAAAATAACTCGAATTTAAATAGCTTTTGGCACATGTGTCAGATAAGTTACCTGCAACAACATCAATTATGTCATTTACTCCTCAAAACTCACCCAAGGGGTAAACACCATCAGTAATCCCATTTTATTTAAGGGGAAACTGAGGTTCGCAGGCGTTAAGTAATCAGTTCACGGTCGGGGGCCTAGTAACCGGAGGCAACAGGCAGTCTAATTCTAGAGGCTTCCTTCTACATTCTCTCACCCCGGCTCCTCTTCCTACCCCTCTGGAACTGCTCTGGACTTTCTGGGCCAGGTGAGAGTCTAGAGAGCAACCCCACTACCACCTCCTGGCACTGGGGCCTGCATGTCTGCAAGACAGAGACCTGCAGAGTATGCGCGCACGTGCAGGCACCAGAGTCCCAGGTGCACAGGGGTCCTGGCTTCCTCCTGGCTGCCCTCCGCTGCACAAGCAGCCCTGGGCCCCGCCCCACAGTGCCCGGCCCGCCACATTACCCAGTTGCGGGCCCGGAAGGCCTGCACGCATTGCGAGCCCAGCGCGCCCCTGCCGCCGTACACCAGCACCCGGCGCGCCTCGCCCGCTGCCGCCGCCATGCCGCAGCTCCCCGCCGGCGCCGCTGTTCTCTAGGTCCGGACTGAGCGCCGCGCGGACTGCCGCCGCCTAGCCCTCCACCAAGGCAGGCAAGCTCGGCCGCCCCGGACCTGCGCCTGCGGCCACGCCCACATCCACCACGCCCTGGGGGCGGAGACACCGGCAAAGCCCCGCCTTCCGACCGTCTGTCACTCAGGAGGGTCCAGCCCCGGACAGTGGAGCGCAGCTTGGTGGACCGAGAACGCGCGTGGCTGCACAGCGCCGTTGCACGAGGAGTTGGAACAAAACAAACCTCCTAAAATACATTATTTTTCTAAGTAAGAGTGCGGACTCTGCCTGCCCCACTGTTCGAAAGCTGTGTGGCCTAAGCGACTTCCTTTCTGACTCCTTGCCTCAGTTTCCTCGGGAGTGAATTGGGAAGAATATTCTGTTTCCCCGGGGTTTGGGGAAGGATTGCAAAAGGTAATGCTGTTAGCAAACCCAGGTTCGGAAGCACATCCTCGGAAAAACCGGGATCCAAAACAGGAGAGGAAGGAAGGAAGGTTTTATCCGGTGGCCGAAGGAAAAAAGCAGGAGCTCTCTTGCTGACAAATCAACTTCTCAACTCTAGGGGGTGGAGGACATGTAGGGTACAAATAATAAGATGGAGAAGCTAACAACGGCGAGGAATAGGAAAATATTCCTATTTTCTGGGAATAGGTGGAGCTCTCCCAGGAACCCAGGGGTCACGGTTTTACGTTCCTTTCATGGTTTAGTGTTTCTGGTCCTGGTGGCAGGTAGCTATGTTTAGCCTTCAAGCCGGAATAAAGACTAGGGAGTCCATGTCAAGTAAACCCTATATTATAGTTTTGATCAAAACAGTTCTCAAAATGATCAACATACAGTGCTGAGTGGAATCTGACCCAAAGGCAAAGAAGGCAAGGAAGGAGACAGGTGGGGAGCCTTTTCATCCAGTTCAGCGCCTGTTCGACTCTGCAGGCCCCAGGGAAGAGTTGTTTTCGGCACAAGTGGCCTTCAGTCTCTGAAGAGTAACCTAAGTAGCTGCTGTCATCATAACCCACAGTCAGAGGTGTCATCTGCAATAAAGCTACTGGGAAACTATTAATATTTTGTCCAGCCATGCAGTCTGCAAAATTAGTCATTTTCAAGCCAGCTAAGAGAGGTGTCATTTACATTTTTCTCCATGACAATACTATAGTACATAGAGGAATATATGGTATAGTTAAGTGGTAGGAGCTCAATAAATGTCAATGCCAGTAAGTGACTCCTGTGTGCTGGTTCATTTTATTCCACCAAACAATCCCATGACCAAGGAGAAAATTTGAACCCAGATCTTCAACAGCCAGGATTTGCTTAAGTACACCTCCAATCAGCACACCATGGGCTCCTTGGGAATCCTGTGTTATCCATAGAAATGATTATTCATTTCCTGGAAATGATTGCTTAATCCCTAAAGCACCAAAAGTTAAGAAGTTCACTATTAAGGGGAAAAAAAAGTGATACCACATTGGAATATTACTCAGCATTAAAAGAGAATAAAATCATGGCATTTGCAGATAAATAGATGGAGTTGGAGAATATCATGCTAAGCAAAGTAAGTCAATCCCAAAAAACCAAAAGCCAAATGTTCTCTCTGATAAGTGGATGCTGATCCATATGGGCCAGTGGAGGAGAGCATGGGGAAAATGGAGGAACTTTGATTGGGCAAAGGGGATGGAGGGGAGGGGAGGGGTATGGGGGCAAGAAAGATGGTGGAATGAGATGGACATCATTACCCAAGGTACATATATGACTGCACATATGGTGTGATACTACATCATGTACAGAGAAATGAAAAGTTTGGCTGCAATTGTGTACAATGAATCAAAATGCATTCTGTTGTCATATATACCTAATAAAAATAAATAAATAATTTTTAAGGTATTTATTTTTTAGCTGTAGTTGGACACAATACCTTTATTTCACTTATTTATTTTTATGTGGTGCTGAGGATCGAACCCAGTTCTCGCACGTGCAAGGCAATTGCTCTACTGCTGAGCCACAACCCCAGCCCAATAAATAATTTTTTAAAAGTGATACCAAGGGCTGGGGATGTGGCTCAAGTGGTAGCGCGCTCGCCTGGTGTGCGTGCGGCCCGGGCTCGATCCTCAGCACCACATACCAACAAAGATGTTGTGTCCACTGAGAGCTAAAAAATAAATATTAAAAAAATTCTCTCTCTCTCTCTCTCTCTCTCTCTCTCTCTCCTCTCTCACTCTCTCTTTAAAAAAAAAAGTGATACCAAGGTGTTACACATATCCTGCTTTCTGAAACCATACTTAATATTAAAATAATAATGTTAGCTAACATTGTGAATCATTTATTAAAGTTCCAAGAATTCTTCTTTTTGTAATTTTTTATTTGTTCTTTTTAGTTATACATGACAGTAGAATTATTTTGACAGATTATAGAGTATAACTTCCCATTCTTAGGGATGTATGTGATATGGAATTACATTTGTCTTGTATTCATACATGATCATAGGAAAGTAATGTCGGATTCATTCTCCTGTTTTTCCTATTTCCATTCCCTTCCCTTCTCCTCATTTCCCTTTGTCTAATCCAATGAACTTCTATTCTATTTTCCCACCCCACCCCCCACTCCTTATTGTGAGTTAGCATCGCACATCAGAGAGAATATTTGGCCTTTGGTTTTTTGGTATTGGCTTATTTCACTTAGTGTGATATTCTCCATTTCCAACCATTTACCAGCAAATGCCATAATTTCATTTTCAGCTTCAGAGATGATGGAACGTGTGGTAAAGCCACATGCTTCTGAAATGTTCTTCTTTACATTCATTGTAGAGCAGCCACTGATGTGAGTCCCCAATACGAAGAAGCAAGCTGTTACTTCTATAGCACATCCCTCTGCCACCCCCTCACTCCACGGGTGAGATTCCCAAGACTACTGCACCTTCCTGAGGCCCCTCCAGGTTTTTGTGACCAAATAAGAAAATTTGCTGTGCCATTTATGCCCAATTTTGTTCCCTGAGGTATTGACAGAGTGGCTGTTGCCAGTCACATGTGACATTAAGTTGACATTCACGGTACCATAAAAGTCAAAATTTAAAAAGCAATAGAAGACAAGAAGTAAATAATAATTCATTCCTAGTGTCTACAGGTTAAAAGAAAAAGAGAGATCTTCATTTTTAAAAGATATAAATACCCCAACAGTATAACCACTACTTGCTGACATATTAAACACACACACACTTCTCTGTCACATTTCAGATGACATGGAACATGGAGAAAGGGGAGAGGAATGTGAAGTATCAGGGTCCACAAATAGATTCATGTTGCAATTTTACCCTTTTCAGTTTCACCCAGGGATAAATCTGTAACGCCCCAATTTACACATTTTAGTTGAAGCCTCAAGAAACCGGTGGTTTGCTGGCGTTTTTAACGGTTCTGAGGATCTGACAGCAGTGACATTTTAGAGAAAGAAATGCCAGGGCACACATCAAAGAGATCGACATTTGATACCGTGCCCTGTTGGCAACGGGCAAGTGCTCATTCTTCCATTTTTGTTTTTCTTCTACCGTATGCATTTTTTGAGACTGGCAAGCATCTCTTCATGGTCAAGTCTGCCTGGTTTTGCTGGTTATTAACTTCCCCCCGTCACTAGGAGGTCCAAACGAGGGTTGTTTAAATACTTGGACGGAGGAACAATTAAACCCTGTGCTGAAATACTAGTCTGGTAAGAGATAGGGTTACTCCCCTCAGTAACACACTCCACTGCGCGAGGAAGACGGTCTGCATGTGGTTGTAACAGCACGGGCTGTGGAGGCCGGCACTGAGGGAGGACGAAGGGATGGACTCAAAATCTTGAAATGGTGTCCAGAAGATGTCAACAACCTCAGCTGTCACCGGGATGACCTGCACCCTCCAGCATGCCTGGATGGTTCAAAAAGGCATGGTACGGGCTGGCCTCTTTCCTCAGCTTCTCCTCCTTCCTGCTGATCATCGTCGCCCTGGCGGTGCCCCACTGGCTGAGTGGGAAAATCCTGTGTCAGACTGGAGTGGATCTGGTCAACGCCACGGATCCAGAGCTGGTCAAATTCATTGGGGACATTTACTACGGGCTCTTCCGAGGGTGTAAGGTGCGGCAGTGCGGTCTCGGGGGCCGCCGGTCCCAATTCACCAGTGAGTATATTGGGGGCATAAAAACTGACTTAGATGCTTGTTATTTCTTTTCATTTGCGAGGATGCTCATGTGTGCATGTGGAATTTGACGGATGTCTCAGTCTCGGGGGTAATGTCAAAGCCTGCCGTGCGCCAGAGGTTCTCATTCAGTACCAGAAAGAGACTCGCTTTCTTCCTTTTTTTTTTTTTTTTAATAGAGGCATAGAGAAACATTACAAATAGGAATTTGCATATTTTTGTAGTTTATCTCTACTAATAATGCCAATTAAATTTTTAATATTCAATATTAAAATATTGGGTCAAAAACATGGGTCAAACATTCCATCAAAGGCTTCGCCTGGCCTGACTTTTTTAAACCTTACAACCAACTTATAAAGAAAGAATCATTAACATGTCTATTCTGCAGAGGAGTATTCTGAGGCTTGGAGAGTTGCATACCTGGCCTGAAGTCCTTCAGCCAGGAAACAGCACAACCAGAGGCCAGAAGCATGTCACATGACTCTGGTGTCCTCCACAATTACTTGCGGGTGTAGACCCTCTGCAGAAATGAGCCTTGAGGAAATGTGGCAACTGCTTCCACGTCAGTGTATATCACAGCTTCCCAGCCTCAGAAAAAAGCAAGGGGCCTCTGCACATGGATTATGGGATCAGACTCCCTGGGTTTGTGGCACAGTGGCTGTTTACTGGTGGGGACACCCAGGCAGGGCGCTTGACGGCTCACAGGGAACGTGAGCAGACGCTGGCACTGGCCTGAGTTCAGCCTGGGATCAGAGCCACCCAGGATGTCAACAAAGCAGTCCTCTAAGTCATGAAGCCAGGAATCTAATCTGGCTTAAGAACTATCCTCCAGGAAGGAAAACCAAAAAAAGACAGTATTCTATAAACCTTTAGAATCCAAAAATTAGATTGCCGATGAGAATGACAACCCACAAAACCATCATTAATCAGCCCTGTGCTGATGCATGAGCATCAGGAACTTTATTTAGTGCAGGATTGTCACAGTGTTTAGAAACCTGGCCAGGGCACATAAGCTACCCTGTGTAAAGAGGAAAAGCTGGCAACACTGTCTATTGTAATACAAATTGCTGTCCTTTATATACACGAAGAAAAGACATGTTTCTTATGTTTAGTTAGGAAACATCTGTGAGCATATTTTTATTTACTCAGCAATTAAATTGGACCCGCACATGGGAAAAAGAGATCCATTAAAAATATAACCTAAAACCAAATAGGGCAGTGCACACCTATAATCCCAGCTACTTGGCAGACTGAGGCAGGAGAATTGCAAGTTCAAGGCCAGCCTTGGCAACTTAGTGAGACCCACTCTCTAAATAAAATAAAAATGGCTCTGGACATCGCTCAATGATAGAGCACTTGCCTAGTATGCTCAAGACCCTGGATTCGACCCCAGTATGAATCGTAACCTAAAAGGTTTATAAATACAAAGAAATTAGAATAAAGAAAGTGTTAAAGGGGGACCATGAAAATTTTATGCTGTACTTGATTCTGAACTGCATCCCCTGGCTGCAAAGGATGCCATTGGGGCCATCAGTGAAACTGGAAAAGATGTGATCAACTGGGCCTCACGTGCCCTTGGGGTCTTAAAGGTAAGACCCCATCGTTCCAGGCCACAGAAATTCCAACTGCCTCAGTTACAAGCCATAGTGCTCATTTATGAGCACTTGCTGTTTGCTCTCTGGAGGAACTCAAATCAATGTTCCCTTCCGGGCTGTCTCTTCCTTCTCAGAGAGACAGACACCCTTGGGCCTCAGGCCTCTGGGTTCCTCTAACAGGGTCTGGTCCCTCAGGCATCCAAACTGAATGAGATGCACAAGAGATGCTATTGGTCTCTAGCTGTGAGTATCATGAGCATGGCAGCTACTGAGAAAGTCTGGTTTCCTGCTGCCCCCGGGCCTCCCAGAGGAGGGGGCTTTCAAGGTTGGAAGTGATTCTCTTTGAAATCTTTCCTGGGAGCCTGGGGCAGGCTCCTCCTGTGATTAGCTGACTTTACCTCTACACTTCAGGACACTGCGTACATTATCATGTCCTCTGGCGCAAATCTAGTTTCCTTTAGATTTACAGCCCTTTATTCCAGCACCATGTAGCCCTGAGGCAGCTGCGGGGTGTATCAGACTCTCCCACCTCTGACTTGAAGTCAGGACTTACCAACCTCTGCCACTTAATGTGGATCTGTGGGAAAAATATCCCTGTTTACAAGGCCTTGCACAGATCAGGGAAGGGGAGTCTGTGAAAGCGCTCTGTAAACTGTGATCAGGGAGTTTTTACCGGGTCTCATTTACAAACAGCGTCCTTTCTCACCATCACAGAGGTCTCCCAGGAACCGCCCAAGAGAAACACTTCCCCATCCATCACAGGGAAAACCCAATTCATCACAAAAGGTGAAGGTCTTCCTTTATACCTAGACCTTCTGAAATCAAAACAAGTTAACCTTGGGTGGCTAGGGAAAGAAAGAGAGAAACATTAACAGTGTCCACACATTCAACTGTGTTAAGGATTTCCAGACCCGATGCTGCTAGGAAGCCAGGGACAAGTCAATCGGACAAGTGCCCCCCCCTCCAGGACCTCGCAGAGGAAGTGTGAAGGAGGCACAGGGCACCCTGGGATCTCACGCTTTTTTCTGAGATTCATTTCCTTCCATCTTGGTGCACTAGAAGAAAGACTTTAGCATGCTCATTTTGTGAAGAAAATTAATTGAGGATCAAAGAAATCGATACTTGAAATAATTTCTGTAAAAGCACTTAACATAATAGGAGTGCTGTGGTTTTTAGTTCTTGGGTTACCTCCCTTCTTCCTACCCCTGAAGTGTTTCTCCGGCAGCCAAGACCTGCTTATTTGCCTTGCTGGGACTAAACAGGCTGTCACACTTCACTGCGATCAGGAGCAGACAAATTATCTAAACTTCAGGTACTGATAGAATGATTAATTGATTCTGGCATTCAAGCAAGCCAACTCTAATACGTACAAAATAAGAACATTTATTCCAATGCAAAATAAAACTTCTCGAATTCAAGCTAAGCTATTATTAACATTGTCAACCTTTATTTATCCAAGTTTCCTGACTTTTCAGTGATGAGCACTACAGCAGAATAATTTAGGCAGCCCTTGCTGGCTGTGTGTGTGCCCTTGGCAAAGCTACTTAACTTCCCTGAGCTTCAATTTCCTCATCTGTAAGAGTGAGAGAGAGGGTAGCCAGGCTCAGTAAAAAGAAAATGTGTATTCAGTGCCTGCACCGTTTGCACCTGATGGAGGTAGCTGTTGTCATTTATGACTGTGGATCTTCTGTGTTTACGTCACGCATTGCAGGCTGGAAAGTTACATTTCAGAGTTTACCCAAAACTCTTAGAAATGGGACAGACACGAAGGCAAGTGAGCAGCAGCTTTCGGGGGGCAGCACTTGGGACAGGAACACAGGTCGAGTCACCCTCAAAGACAGATGGAAAGAACGGATGCCCTGAAACTCCAGACCAGAGACTCAGTTTCCACCTAGGCACACATGGAAAATAAGTCAGCTTTCAAGACACCGGGACATCTGAGCCCAGGCATGTGGCACGTGAATGTGGGCATTAGATGAGATTCACCCTTTGCCAATGAAGAACTGTTTTAAAATATAATTAATACACTTCCTACGATGGAGGCCCAAGTTTAGGCTCTCTCCCTCCCTCTCCCCATCCCTCCATATGTCCAAAATCCCCTCCCTCACCATCTAATATGCTTACTTCTCAGCATTTTAGTAAATTAATATGGATATGGGCTGGGATCATCGTGTGTATGATTAGTTGTTTTGTTTTTTTTTTAAGCTATATTGCATGGTTGTTCCTTAATTTATTAAATCACTCTCCCGTGGATTCACACGTTGGTTTCTCTCCCGTCTTTTGCTGTTGTGATGAACATCCCACCTACGTTGCTTTAAGCACCTGTAGAAATGTGCCTGGAAAATAGATTCCTGGAAGTGAAATTGCTATAACAGATGCTGCCAAATTGCCCTCTTACTGGGATGGAAAATCAACATCCCTACAGCATTTGAGAGTAGGGAGAATTAGCAAATATTTTATACGTGACCACCTCACGGGTGACTCTTCTCTGTGGGAAGGATTCGGTGAGGATTGATTACTAAGCAGGTCGCGTATCCTAAGGATTTCATGATCAAGAAAGGGGACAACAGAACAATCAGGTAATCAAGTGTGAGCGACCATTTTGGGAATAAAAAGAGCCTGAGGAGTTGAAAGGGTGAAAAAATAAAATCTAAAGGAAGGCAGGTGGAGGGAAGGAAGATGCCTTAGAAAGACAAACTCCTTGAAAGGAGCTCAGCTTCCCAGGTCGAGTTTCCCAGGTCAGTGAGACAACAATACACGGAAACACAAAACGGAAAGAAAGTTCAATCAGAACTAAGGACGCAAGCCCGGAGTTCAGACCCTGCAGGTAGAAAGGACGTCCGCGTAAGGAGAGCTCAAAGCCTGGGTTCTCAGGCTTGGCTAATGGCAGCCTTGGTGAATAAGGGGAGGCAGGCGGCCAGCAAGGGTGGGAGGAGTGAGAGTAGAACCAGGAAGGCCTTGGGTCTTGGCCCCTGAAGGGATGGGGCTGGGGAGGGCTGGTCAGTTGAATCAGAGGCTCCCCCAGGAGGTACTCAGCCGAAACCCTGGAGTGGTTGCTGAGAAATAGGCATGCTCAGGAGTCCTTTCATTGTCCTTTATAATTAGTAAAAACTGACTTGGATTTCTTTATATCACACAGTACTCAGTCTAAAACCCTGTGTAGACTTCAGAGACACATTGCCCCAAGACAGGAACCTTCGTGTCTCTGAGCCTGTGGGTAAAGGAGTTGGTAAGATCATCCTCATTTCATTACCACGAGGACTGAATGAGGTGATGGGTACAAAACGCTCAGCCGGTGACTTTGCTCAGCCAAAGCCGATCACCCTCAACTCATAGGCAATCATCACTCTCCATTACACTGACAAAGAAACGGAGGGTCCGAGAGGCCACATGACCCCCCCAAGTCAGAGGGTGAAAGTGACAACAGCGCCCCCTGCTGCCATTGTTGGGAAGCTGTCCTCCCAGGCAACCTTTGATGGAGTAAGTACCGGTGGCCCATAGACAGGAAACAAATAGAAAGGAATCTCTCACCAAACCACCCTGCCACACTTGTACAGAGAGTTCATATTTTCATAAAATATTGTGCAACACAAGGATTAAGTGCCCTTCGTCCTTGGGGGCAATGAGATCCACCTTGCCCTGGGATGGGCTCATGTGCCTCAGGGCACAGCAGGTCTCAGAGCTGCAAGGTCAGGGATGTTGTGGTCACTCCAAGGAAGAGAAGATTGCTGGTCACCTGACAACTGGGGACTTGGGGGGCCAGGGTTTCACCCAGGAAGCCCCTGTTCTGGAAAGCCCAGCGCGTGCTCTCTTCTCGGTCAACGCCAGGTGGGAGGCAGCTTGGGCTCTCTGAAAGGCACCAAGCTCCGACTGAAATACCAGCTGTGTCCTCTCCCCCCAGTCTTCCCGCACCTGGTGAAGGAGCTCCACACGGGCCTCCACGTGACGATTCTGCTGCTCCTCTTCCTGGCCTTGGCCCTGGCTCTGGTCAGCATGGGCTTTGCTGTCCTCAACATGGTCCAGGTCCCCTACCGGGCGGTCAACGGCCCTGGAGGCATCTGCCTGTGGAATGTCCTGGCAGGTAAGATGTCCCATGGGGATAGAAATTCAGGTCCACACCATCATCAGGCGGGCTCCACGTGGCTGGGCGAAAAGAGTGGAGGGATTTAAATGTCCACCTTCAACCTTCAGCTGTCACTCGGTGGCCAGGAAATGCCCTCTTTACTAAAAGTCCCCGAGGCTTTCAAAATAAAGGACCGTGTGGTTAGAATAGTCTTCACTCAGAGCAGTGAGGAGAGGTCAGGGTGAAGGGGAAGAGCTGGGGACAGGAGAGGTGGGCATGGTGAGGGGTCAGAAGGTGGCCACCGCTGCAGCTGGGGCTAGAAGCAGCCAGCACAATGACAGCACAGAGGGCCATTTCCCATACCTTATTTAAGTCTCAGAATCCCCATGAGGAGGTTTGTCAGACCCGTATTTACCAGTGAAGAGTCAGAGAAGTTAAAAGGTCACACAGCGATGAGTAGGAGGAGAGGCCTTGCAACCCAAGATGACTGATTCTAAGTCCTTTGACTTTTCGTTGATCAGTGGTCTTATTCCCAAACCAAAAACTTTTCCAAGACAACAGCGTGTGTGTTTGTGCGAGTGTGTGTGTGACTCTATGGATACACAGAAATCGATCCACATTTAGTTATGCCCTTAACAAATCATCTGTAATGAAAGTAACAAAGTCCCTCGAAACAAGGGCTAATAAAACCATTACGGCAATAACCCCTCACCACCTTCACCTAAGACAAAGTGGCCGTCAAGTATAATGTGTTATTTTACCATATAGGTACAATGCAGTATCAAGAATCAATTATTAGGGCTGGGGATAAAACTCAGTTGGTACAGTGCTTGATTCACATGTACAAGGCCCTGGGTTCAGTCCCCAGCACCACAAAAAAAAAAAATCAATAATTTTGTATTTTCCTATCCTTCAGATGCTGACTCCCTGTAGAATTATCTGTGCACATGCTTACCCACGTCTAGACCTAAGGTATCCTGTTCCTCTCTGTGTGCACCCTCAGCGGCTGGCATATAAAAAGTTCTCAATCCTGCTTACTAAATAAATGATTATCTCTGTCAATTTCCCTCCTCAAAGAGACGGGACTCTCAAAATCTACTGATGAGAGTAAAAAAAAGCAAGCAGTTGGACAAAACTATAGTGTCCAAAGCCATAAAAACATGGATAGCCTTTGAACAACTCCACATGGGGTTTTGTGCTAAGGAAATAACAGAACAAGAGCCCAAGATGTACATAAAATGATGTTTACTGCAACAACTTGTAATTTCAAAACTGGAAGCCATCCGGATTTCCAGAAATAAGGTCATACTTAAACAAATTAAAGTGTGTGTCCAGAATAAAATACTCTGCACCTATTTCAAAATTGTACTGCAACAGGACATTTAACAATATGGAAAAAATGTTCAAGTGAAGGAAAAAAATTTCAAATTTAAAATTCAAGTAAGAGCACCATAATACCAATTGTATGAAGGGGAAAGAAACGCGGCCATATATACTAATGTGTTCAAAGTGTTTATTCCTGGCTTTTAGGATAAAAGTAAATCTGTGTTTTCCATGATGACAGATGTCACTGGTGTCCAGATTCTCTCCTTGGTGAGGATGTGATAACCTCATAAAAGCATAATAAAATTCATTTTTGAAAATATTAATTTAAATCAGAACAGGGAAGGAGATATACCCAGTGGGAGACAGAAAGGAAAAGACAGAGACCCAAGAACATCAAAGTTCCAAGCAAGTGATAAGGAGGTAAATGAGGTTGGGAATTCTGGATTTTTCCCTCCCTATTTTCCCCCTTCTACGGCCTTCAGCAGCTGAGAACCTAACAGTTCAGTCCCAGGTGAAACCAACCTGCAGAATCCCCTCCCCAGCTCCTCCCACCAGCCCTCAGCTCCATACAGAAATCCAGATGTTCAGAGGCCAAACTTCTCCAGATGATCCCTGAGAAAGAATGGTGCTGGGAGAGGGAGGGAGTTGGAGAAGGATTCACAGTCGATCCAACACAGGGCTTATGCTCCTTCTCACCTGGGCCACCCGTCACCTTCAGCTGGGTGGGTCTGCTGCCGCTTGGTTAAAACAAATTGAGATTTGTGTTGTGTTTTAGACCCAAAGCGAGTTTGTGACCCACGGCACAGAAATGCCACTTCACACAGAGTCCTTAGGAGCCGTGGTGACTGATGACTCAGGGCGGGTTTTGGGTTTCAGGTGGAGTGGTGGCCTTGGCCATCGCCAGCTTCATGGCCGCGGTGAGATCTCACCACCTGACGGAGCGCATCGCCAACTTCCAGGAGAAGCTCTTCCAGTTCGTCGTGGTGGAGGAGCGGTACGAAGAGTCTTTCTGGATCTGCGTGGCCAGTGCGTCAGCCCATGCGGCCAACTTGGTCGTGGTGGCCATCAGTCAGATTCCCCTGCCCGAGATCAAGACCAAAATCGAAGAGGCCACAGTCACTGCTGAGGACATCTTGTACTGACGGCCCCCTCCTGCTCACGCCCTTCCTAAATCGGTCCCCCAGTGGGAGGGGGACCTCAGGTTGTGCAGTCTTCCCGGACTGTGGTGTCCCTGTTCTTGGTGGTAGGAGGGGTGTGGAAGGGGCAAGCTGGGGTGGAGGACTCTGGTTCTGGGAAGTAAGGCTTCCCGGCAATCCCCCAAACCCTGAGTCTGTCTCAGGCCTCTGGAGTTGGGCTTGGAGACTTGGCCACTTGCCCTCTGTGTGTGACATTGGACGATTCACTTAGTGTCTATTTTTCAATCTCCTCATCTGTAAAACTTCGTAAGTTTGTTATGAGTTTGATATGAGTGATGGTGTCGGGGGCAGAGCACTCTAGGAATCCAGGGTACCATATACTCCAGTAAGTGTCCATAGACCCTTGGTCCATCCCACACAGTATTTAGGGGGTGTCTGAAGAGGAATATAATAATAATGTCCTGGTCTTTGAGAAACACCTAATCTTCCTACATGACAGTAATTAGCAATAATAACACTAAGAATGAAAATTACCATTTTTTGAGTGGCTACTATGTACTGGACCCTGTTCTCAGAATTTTTGCACACATTAACTTGTTAGATCCTCTGCAAACTCAGGTGGTAGGTGCTATTGTAGCCCATTTGACAGATAAAAGAACTAAGATGTGGAGAAGCTGGGTGACTTGCTGAGGTCAGGAATTAAGTCCAGGAGGCCTGGAACCAGGATCCGTACTTTTAACCACTCTACTAACCTGTTGTGGATAGAGGAGCAATCGCAATGCACTATGATAAGTGCTGAAATCAGACAGGTATAAAGGACCCAGGAAGGAATTAGAGCTTCAGCAAGGCATGTGGCATGAAGAAAGTGTCACAGAGCCAATATCTGATCTGCACTGTAAAAGATGAGTGGACTGCTTCCAGTGGTAAAGAAGCAAGGTTGGCGAGGGGCATTGCAGCGTGCATCAGTACAGAGGATCCGAGGCACAGGCATGAAATTCCAAGAAGGGCACACAGGCACGTGAATGCTCAGTGGGATGAGAACGCTGCTCTAATTGGAGAAACCCGGTTGCTTTGCGTTGGGCTTTCCTAAGAAATGCTGTGATGGTTGATTTCATGTGTCCACTTGGCCAGGACATGGTCCCTGGATATTTGATCAGACACTATCATCGATATTTTTCTGAAGATATCTTCTGATGAGATTCACATTTAAATCTTACCTTCCATAATGTGGGTGAGCCTCATCCAATCAGTAGAAGGCCTTAATGGAAGAAAGCCTGACCTCCCGGTGGGGCAGGGAGGACTCTGCTAGCACACTACCTTGACACTTGAACTGTAACTCTTCCCCAAGTCCCCAGCCTATCTGCACACCCTGCAGATTCTGGACTTGCCAGCTTCCACAACCATTGAACCAACTCCTAACCACCACCCCTTTTTCCTCTCTTTCCCCATTTCTCCCTCCACCCATCCCTCTCTCCCTGTCCAGTTCCTTGGTATCTTCTGGGGATTAATTCCAAGATCTCTGTGAGATACCAAAATGCACAGATGACCAAATCCCCTGTATAAAATGGCATAGTGTCTGCATGTCACCCTTACATTCCTCTTATGTAAAAATCATTTCTTGATCACTGGTAAAAAAAAATGCATAAAACAATGTAAATGCTATGTAAATACTTGTTATATTGTTAAGGGAATCATGACAAGAAAAAATAGACCTGTTCATGTTAATTATCCTAGGCCTAACCATATTATTGATCCTCAGTTGGTTGAATCTGTGCATGCAGAACATGGACAGGAAGGGCCACCTGCATACACACACACACACACACACACACACACACACATACACATACACACACACATGCACCCATCCTATATGGCTCCATTTCTCTGGAGAACCCTAGCTAATACAGTACCCAACCCACCCATTGTTCTGTGACACCAGCTGGGTGGAATCCTTTCCCAAGCCCCCTGTGTTCATGCCAAATAAACATCACCTAAGCCCTGCCTCCAAATAACCAATCTCAAAGGACACCTGATTTGGTGGCTTCAGGAAGTTTCCTTAGCACCTCTCTGTGCTAAATGCTTATAATTCCCCGCTGGGCCCATCTGTCCCTGTCCCAGGACAGCTTCAGTATTTTTTGTGGACTAATTCAGATGGCATGTGGCTAGAAGGAAGTTCATGTGATAGGAGAGCAACAAAGGATAGCAACAGCACCATGCTGCCCGAAAACATAAAGAAATGTCAGCATCGTATCCAGATGAACACAAAGTCCAGCTGATGGGTTTAAAAAAAACATAAGTACACAAGAATCCCACAATAGTTTACATTCTAAGGATCTAAGGATCTTGGCACATTTATTCCTTCAACAAGTGTTGACACAATTCACAATAGCTAAACTGTCGAACCAGCCTAGATGCCCTTCAATGGGTGAATGGATAAAAAAAAAATGGTGGCATATATACACAATAGAATATTACTCAGCAATAAAAGAGAATAAAATCATGGCATTTGCAGGTAAATGGATGGAGTTGGAGAAGATCATGCTAAGTGAAGTTAGCCAATCCCCAAAAACCAAATGCTGAATGTTTTCTGTGATATAAGGAGGCTGATTCAGAGTGGGATAGGGAGGGGGAGCACGGGAGGAATAGACGAACTCTAGATAGGGCAGAGGGGTGGGAGGGGAAGGAAGGGAACATGGGGTTAGAAATGATGGTGGAATGTGATAATCATTATTATCCAAAGTACAGGTATAAAGACACAAATTGGTGTGAATATATGATGTATATAATCAAAGATATGAAAAATTGTGCTCTAGGGGCTGGGGTTGTGGCTCAGAAATAAAGTGCATGTGAGGCCCTGGGTTTGATTCTTAGCACCACATTAAAAAAAAAATAAAGGTATTGACAACTACAACTAATATATATATATATATATATATATATATATATATATATATATAAATTGTGCTCTATATGTGTAATAAGAATGGTAATGCATTCGACTATCATATCTAAATAAAAAATAAACAACAACAAAAAAAACAAGTGTTGAGCCAGGAGAAGTGGCACATGCCTGCAATGCCAATTACTTGGAAGGCGGAGGCCAGAGAATCTCAACTTTGAGGCCAGCCTCAGCAACTTAGTGAAATCTTGTCTCAGAATTTAAAAATAAGAAGGGCTACACTTGAATCAAACTGTGAAAGATGATGTATTAAGAACTGTATAATGTTTTGAACGACCAACAATAAAAAAAAAAAAAAAAAAAAAAAAAAAAAAAAAAAAGAAGGGCTAGGGATGTAGCTCAGTGGTATAGCTAGGTATACACTTGCCTAGCATGTGTGAGAACCTGGGTTTAATTCTCCATATTGCACGCTCGAACGCGCGCACGCACACACACACACACACACACACACACAGAGTCTCATAATTGATCCAAGAGCTCAGAGTAGAGCAGTTAACAAATAACAAATCCCTGCCCTCTGGAGAGTCATGCTCTGAGCAGCTGGGTTGGCTCACGCAGAGGTAGCTTGTGAGAAAGCTGCTAAGAAAATGAGCAGGGCGGTAGGCTTGGACCAGTCACTGCCCTGAGCTGTGTGCAGAACTGTCACTGAGAAAAGGAGGCCCGGTAAACTCAATTTTGCTTCTAAGAGTGAGTCAAAGCACAGGACTTTGTACCTGTGGGTGTGTCCCTAGTGACAAAGTCCACAGCCTTTGAAAGGGTTTCATCAGCGTCAGTGACACCTTGAAGTCTCAAACCATGATCCATCAGGTAGCAACCACAATGTCCCCGGAGAGACTCAGGTTCAGTCTGGAAGCCCATCTCTCGGGACACCATGGAACCGATTCCTAAATAGAAGTTAGCAAAGAGTGAGGGAGAAGGGAGATTAAACATCTGGGTCACAGAAATCACTTGCATTATTAGTCAAGTGCACAGAGAAAATGTAGCCCCTTGTTTTGACTATGACTCATTTGGTCACTTTACGAGTAAATAAATGCCCAATCCTGTTTAAATGTCACCCAACCTAGCTACACACAGTGCATATGCCTGTAATCCCAGAGGCTCGGGAGGCTAAGTCAGGAGTTCAAAGCCAGCCTCAGCAATGGTAAGATGCTTAGCAAATCAGGGGTCCCTGTCTCTAAAGAAAATACAATCATGGGAATGTGGCTTAGTGGTTGAGTGCCCCTGAGTTCAATGCCCAGTACAAAAAAAAATAAAAAATTTAACCCAACCTGATCATTGACACCATCCCTCCCGTGATGGTCAGTCTCTCTGGGATAAAACAACGGCTGCTCCTCAGATGACCTCCCTGGCCTACCTTCTCTTGAAAATGGTTCTAGTCCTGTAGAGGAGGGAGACCCACACGTGTCCTGATTTTCCAGAAGGGTCCCCAGGCCTCCTGCTGGTTCTGGGAGGCACACACACTGGCTCTTTGGTTTTCCATCCACCTGACTGCTCCCGGTCCTGCCAACCTTGCAGGAACAGTCTGAGGTTGGAATCATTTGTGAAATGTTCTTTTGAAATGGCTCAGAGCCCAGTCATGGCCTGGATCCCATTGGCTTGAAACCCTGGAGTGACCACCAGGTCCTCTGTCCAGCTCACCTGTCCATCAGTCTACCCCCTCCAGGTCTCAACACAGCATCCTGCTCCATGGAGTGGGGGCCTCCTCTCCATTTCCTCTTAGCAAGTAATTCACACCTCTTATTCCTTCCCCCAATTCCAGACTTGAGAGGATCTTTGCTGCTAAGAGAAAATGATCTAAATATGACATAAATCCCATTTTAAAAGTGGGAGGCTGCCCCAAGGCCTTTTGCAAATGACTGTGAAAGTGATACCCCACCCAAAGTGGATGCAAATATGGGGACAATCCAGGCAATAGTATTCCAGCTTATGGTGAACTGTGCCCTCAAGGATGCCTCCACATAGAGGTGGCACCTGCCTGATGCTCACAGACGCATCTCATGACCCAACAGTGCCCCAACCCTTCCAGCCCACTAGTCTGTGTAGAGTCCAAATGCTCAATTTAGCATTATTCTATGACATTGGTTAGAGGGTGATAATCATGATTGATTTTCACATGTCCTTTAAAGAAATCTGTCCCATGCATTCAT